CTACCTAAAAATATCAGCACTATTACTTTGCTCTATAGTTTGGTTTCTGTAGCTTATTATTATGATTGATCAAAGGAGAAAAGGCTAATGATTACAACTCCAGCAGAGCTTTCATGCATGAATACAAATAGTTTTCTTTTCCGATTCAAATTCAATTGGTTGCCCAGTAACAAATGCTCCTTTGGTGGTTTGAGTTTTGACCATAAAATGTTCTAATTCTTTGGCCTTAATTTGAGACGATTTGATGCTAATTTGGTTGCCACTGTCCTCTTCGAGGATTGCCATGATATGAATCTATGTATAATAACTGGCTGCCTGCCAATAAGTACCGCGTAGTTGAATGGTGGTGCATTCAGGCTAGACAGAAGCTCGAAAACGCAGAAAATTGTTGAAGTGGGAATACAAATCAGGAGAAAGAAATAAAGATCTGACGATTGATGAAGAATTTACTGTGCCAGTTTAGCAGATTATGATCATGTAAAGATTTGTTTCCCTATTTCTAATCATTCAATAGTCACGTGTAATATCCAAATTAAATTAAACATTCAATAATCGTTTGGATGATAAGGTGGGAGATATTACAAGTAAAATGTCCTAAATTCAAGACCTCCCACCTATACGAAAAAAAAAGCCTATGGACTTTACGGAAAGAGAATAAACAAAACCTATAGGTTAGTGCAGACTGGAGCACTAATTAATGTCGTTGTTGTTGATCTCTTTCTTAAGGTTATGCTTTTAAATTCTTAAGAGAAACGAGAGCCTCCTTTGCAGGTACTGTCTGTGGATCCCTAGTTACCAAAATTGTATATGGAATTTATAAGGCAAGTCATAAAATTATTATTAAGTCACATGTAATGGGATAATAGGACTTCTTCAACTTTTGCTAGCAGGCGTCCCAAAAGTGAAGTTAAAAGGAACTTATACAATCAATTGCTCTTGAGTACTTTATTTAAGGAAATAATGGATGTTTACTGTTGCATGAGGAGGATTAATTTTTAGTGCTTGTCAAACAAAAGACGCTAGGATTTGGAAGCAATCAAATCAGAGAAAAGAACTTTCATAGGGATCCCTCTTTTATTAGCAATAGTAAACTTTGAGAGTCTAAAGTTTAAGCTGGCAAGACTTTCTTGTCTATGCTTAGTTTATCCTTTTTGATAAAAACATCGTAATTTTATTAAAATTTGTATTAATGGGCGAAGTTATCTTGTTTCATATTTTTCTGGAAGGCCGAGGACAAAGAGAGCTTGGAATGCTAGAAGCCATTAGGGGTGTATTCAAGTCGAGTCGATATCAAATTGTGCACTGCTCGAGCTGGACTAGAGGTAAAATAACTAAACTCGAGTTCGAACTCGACTTCAGTTTATGTTACTCGATTTCGAGTTTAATTAAATCTAATCGAGTCAAAGTAAGTTCAATCGAGCCTATTCGAGTGTAATTGAACTTAATCGAGTCTATTCGAGTCAAATCAACCTCACGTAATAAAAATTAATATTATACATATAATTTTAAATAATGGACATAATTGATATTTCATAATAATAAATACAAAAATTTAAAAATATATTTATTATAAAAAGCTCGATTAGGCTCGTCGAGCCTTCTGAGTATAAAATATTGGGATTCAAGCTCAACTCGTGAGATCAAATGAGTGGAGCTCGAGCTCGATCAAAATGAGCTCAAGTCGAGCTGTTGACCGAGCAACTTACAAGATCGAGTCAAACTATTTGGTTCAGCATCACCCCTAGAAGCCATACCAACGATCCTTCATTCATTCTAAGATGGGATAAAAAGCCATACCAATTGGCTACATCTGGTCTTGAATATTTATCCTTCTCATTTTCTTGAATTGCAAAAAAAAAAAAAAAAAAATTTAAAGTGCCAACTTATTGTTATATCAACCAAAATTTTTTTCTTTGATAGAATTGCATGTCCTGCCTGCCATCATGAATTCTTGTTAATGCGTTCACATGTTTTCTCAACCATAAGCTATACAAGAGTTCGACTTTTTGTCCTAATGTCCTTGACAGATTGTATATTATACCACCACCTTCCAATTGCTTCAAGAAGCAAATCAAGTTCCTTGCAGGCCATAGGACAGCAATTTGTTTTACCTGTCTTGGGTTTTCTTGTCCAAACAGTGAAACAGATTAGACCATAAAGTACCATAAAGATCAATTACAAACGTTTTGGGCCAATATTGTGATAACTTGAACAGAGAAAAGAACATAGAAGTACTATCCGTGGCAAAAAAGCAATCAGTAGTATCTGTTGGCAAGTGCATGTTATCTATTTTGCTCCTCTCAACTGATGCAAGAAACTGTACTACACATCAACAAACTGTCTTTGTTCCAATGCAATATGTGATTGAAGAAATTTCAGCTGTTGGAACAAGAATGTTATTATACTGTTCAATTGGGCATTGCCAAAAATACCAATTAGCACTCACCACATCAGTGTTTCACCATTAAGGAACGTATAGTTATTGATAATTATCCCTTTTGGACACTCATTCTCCATATTTCATTAGTTTTTCAACATTGCAGTAAACTACTTGCCGACACTTGAAAAAATTGCCTTCAAACAATTTGCCATTGGTATGATTTTATCTCAGTTTTAAAACATGTTAACCATAACAGGAAAGATGTGTGTTGTCAATGAGAAAGAATCCCTTTTTTATGGATAAAATAAAAGCCGATATTATTAATAAATTAGTTGAAAATCATCCAACACGATGATTTGTTTGACAAAGAAAATTGTACTAATGACAGAAGATACATAGATCATGTCACATAATGAGAAAGGATCGTTCATATGCTCAAAAACAGTGGAGTATTCAATCCAAGTAAAATGCAGTTGAAGTCTCTAATGAAGTACTAGACATAGCAATAAAAGATTACTTGGTCCTCAAATATAACTTGACTGGAGATATAATTAAGAGTTATGACATGAGCATTTATAGTAGTAACTCAAAGCTTACGGTTAATTCAATAGAAAGGGTCCAGAGTAAATGAAGGCACCCTTCAAGTAATGCACTGACTAGAGTGGCAAATCCTTCTGCAATATCAGAATGCAATAACATTTTTGGTGAAACTCTATAAACTACACAGAATAATTATATTGGCAACAAGAAAGAAAGAAAGAATGCAGAACAAAGAGAGCAATTTTGTGTTGTTAGAAAGAAAAAGACAGTGGTTAAACCCCGTAACCACTCTAATATTCCTCAACTTGTCAGGTAATTTTGAGTGATTTCCCCCTTAGAACTCGTGAGATTTAATAGTTTCTATTGTTATTCTCGTTGTTCGTATGATGGTGTAGAATGAAGGACAAGAATGAAATAGGTTCTGACATTCGAGGAGGCAAGCTAGAGAAGGTAATAAATTGGGGCTCAAATAACATCAATTATGATTTGGAGGGCTATTGCAAAAAATCTAAAGTGCTCAACTCACTGACGGATAATTTTATCTCAATACAGAGCAACTATTAAGCATGTAGTTGTTCCAAAACCAATGAAAAGTTTTATATGAACATATGGGAATCACCGCTTGATTTCATTTAACATGTCAAATGAACTCCATTTAACTTATGAATTAGCAAATGAGGTCCTTATATATCCAAATGGAACTTTTTTATTGGTCTTAAATCAACTACTGGGCATGCCTAATAGTTGTTTCGCACTCTGACATAAAATTTGAAAGGGGAAATTGCAACTTGCCCAATGCATTTTGGATAGCACGATAACAGGGTTTATTGAGTCAAGGATCAGGGGAGAAATTTAAGCGAAAATTTCTAGAGTTCGAAATCTCTTACTTGTACTAAAAAAAAAAGAAAAATCAAGAATACAATATTGTCTAAAATCTTTTAGTTCATAACAAATGCATTGTATCAAAAACAAAAGTAAAATGCTTCTTTTTTTTATCTAAAAGAAAAAATCTTATTGTTCCCAATGCCATATTATTTACTTAACTTGTTAGATGAATGCAAAAAAATCTAGAACATGCATGAAAGTTTATGTAATTTATGGATAAATCATCAAGGAATATTTATTAAAATGTTTTTTTGAAACTTTTGGAAACATATATAGATCGTAATTTGGAAATTTTAAGACGCGTAGTCGATGGTTTATTTTTCTCCGTTCAACCAAATAAGATATGAATGATGAGTATTCGTGAAGCAATTATGCAAAATTAAAGTGACAATATAACCGCCCAATCAATATGACCTCAAATGCAAATTCAATAAGAAGACACATGCACACAACATACTCATATAACATGTATAATTACTTGCACATTAACAATCAAACGATTCAAATCTTAAAAACTTTTACATTTTTTTTTCCAAATCTCGGTTACTGCGTGTTTACAATCGGTCTTATACTAGGAAGAGAGAGGAAAAGAGATGGAGATGGACGCAACTAAATTATTGAGAATTCAAAAGGAAGTAAATTACCTCAAAAAATGTTCCAAAAATTTTTTGAATGGGAAATGCAAGCAAAGGGTTTCGAAATCCTTACCTACACCAAGGAGATACTTTTGTCCTTCCGAAAGCTTTCACGTGAAACAAACAGAATGCAAGAAAAAATGAAACACGATTTCCAAATGCTAGAGTCTTATTCTAAATTTTTTTTTCAGATAATCCTCTGTCCAAACAGACTCAGTAGTAATGGACATAGTAACACTACTACTTTTCCTCTTAACTTGTACCATCATTAAATTATTACCCATAGTAATTTTTCACATCAACTCGTTTTCAGTCTTCGTAATTTACATTATTGACAACATCCCAAGATCAAAAAATGTAGCAACACTTGGTCACATCCATCCACATTAAGGGCTTAATCTCAACACGTAAGCACCAAATTCCATCAATTTGATGAAACCATAAAGTTCAAGGGGGCAAACTACAATTTTTGTTCTCCCTCGCATAAAATAAAAACGAACCCAATTTTCCAAGCTAAGGACGCCCAGTCCCAGGTCCCATCCCAACATATAGATACACAAGAAGACGTCTAACTCGGGGCCCAATGAAGAGCCAATTTGTCCACTAAATCCGGTTCCCTAAAACCACGTCTTCCCTTCTCACTACATTTCATTGCCCAAAGTCCCCACATTTCCCGGCCCATTTAGAGCTCCTTGCCCCGATATCCAGCCCCCCATCGCCCCCTTCAAAATCCCCACAACCCCCATTTTCCACATCCACTCCCACCATTTCAGTGTTCTTCCACTGGAATAGCCAACTAGCGACCGGAAAAACTAACCAGCCAAGCCAAGCAATGGAGCCATGGCTTGACGACTTAGCCGACGACCTCCAAAGCATGAGTTTCAACTCCACCACTACAGCCACCACCACCACCACCACCGCCACCGACATCCACCGTTCCACGAGTTCCGGTTCGGAGACCACCTGGACTGCAACCTCCTCCTCTTCCTCCTCCGCCCACCACGTTTTCCCTCTTCCCCCTACAGCCCACCAAAAGCCTCACTCCTCCACTCCCTCCGGTGACCCTTGCTGGGACGCCATCCGTCGCGCCCGCTCCTCTTCCCCTTCCTCCACTCTCTCCCTCTCCGACCTCCGCTTCCTCCACCGCCTCGGCTCCGGCGACATCGGGTCCGTCTACCTCTCCGAGATCAAATCTCCCGAGCCCCCTCCTCCTCCTCCTCCTCCTGCTCAGCATTCTTCCTCTACTCAACCGGCGCTTTTCGCCGCTAAAGTAATGGACAAGAGAGAGCTGGCGGGCCGTAATAAAGAAGGAAGAGCGAGGACGGAGAAGGAAATTCTCGAAATGCTAGACCATCCATTTCTGCCCACGCTCTACTCCTCCATTGACTCTCCGAAATGGTCGTGTCTGTTAACGGAGTTCTGCCCCGGCGGCGACCTCCACGTCCTCCGCCAGCGCCAGCCGTTAAAACGATTCCCTGAATCCGCCGTCAGGTACGCAACATTCTGGGCTAATGAGTACATACTTTTTTTGGATTTTGAACATTTGAATATTGGATATGGTGATGATGACGGTGGTGATGACTCCACAAAAGAGAGAGCAGAGAAAGTGATGGATCATGAACAGGGGGTGGTGGTGCGGTCCCCACCACCTGGTCCTGGCGGAGGAGGTGATGGGGAGTCAGTTATATTATGAGGATCACCCCAACTAAATTTTACTGCTAGCAACAGTTGCAGTAGATAGTAAACTATTTCTGGTGTTTTTACCGGGGGCCGGTGATTCTGATGAAGTGGGAATTTTCGTTTTACCCACACTGGTTCAGAATTCAGAGTTCAGAGCTTTCTTTCTGTTCAGTGCAGTCATCAGTGGGGTTGTTTGCTTTTGGCTGCAAAAATTTTTTTTTCCCCTTTGTCTGTTTGTGGGTGAAATGGCTTTTTTTATTCTGATTTGATCAGAATAGCTTTTATTGTTCTTTGTTTTTTTTTTTATTTTGATAAAAAAAAATGTAGCTAAAAAGTTGTTTTATTCTAAATTATTACTAGTATATTTAATGATAGAAAGTTAAAATTTTAGGTAGCCATAGATTGTAGTAGAAACAAAAAGTTTAGAGAGCAGTAGTAGAGGGGTTTTTAATATTATGTTAGATACTATATGCAATAGTAACTGCTCTTTTAGCTAAAAATTTAAGAAATGTTTGGATTACAATTTTTCAAAAAAAATTGCTACGTTCTTTCTTTTTCGTGAACATATTTTTTAATTATCTTTTTCCGTCACATATATCCAATCACTACAATAATTTTTCTACCAAAAAAATCTAGAAAAATTCAATTCAAACAAAGCTAATTTTTCTGTGACAAAATTATCAAGATCAAGAACGTCCTTTGACAAACAAAAATGTTGGTTTAGCTCTAATTTTATTTTTTTGCATACTATCCAAATTATAATGGTTAGTCCGGATAATACTTGAAGCCATTTTTCCCTCTATGATCTAACAAGTATCTGAAAGGTATCCTGTTTTTTTTTTGTGCATATTTGGATCGTACAAAAGTACCAGTAGTAATTTAGGAACTTAATATGAAAATGAAAGTCCAGCTCAAAGAGACGGGGCTTTGTTAAATGCTGTATTTGGGATCACCGTTGGTTGGCTTTGATCACTGACACATGGAGTTGAGGTTGGGATGGAAGACAAAGAATACTTTAAAGTCTTTAGTTTGGGGGTTGGGGAGAAGAGGAAGGGCAGTGTTTATGGTTGACCTTGCTAAGGACATGTGACAGCGGAAGAGTTGGTCACGTGGGCCTCTTGTTCTTTCTAGTTCATTGATTTACTCTCAATTTTCTCACTTGGAAAATGACAAAGCTTCTTCGATCCCAGTTTTTATCTGAGTTAAAATTTTTCTCTTGGGAATTTTCTATTTTGTTTGCTATTGGTCAAGAACCCTAGAGGGTTAATCCAATTTTGTTTGTTCCCCTAGGACCCCCTGGCTTCTCAAATCTCAGCTACGTTAACTTCTCCGGAATTTCGGGGGCTTGAAAATTTTGGGGTTTTGAATGATATTTATTTACTGTGCTGGTCAATCAAGCATCCAGTTCTTACTAGGAATTGCATGTATAGTGTTCCTGATTTGCCTCTAATCTGTCTAGCTAAATTTGGAATACTGCTTGTGGGTTGTGATTGATTTAACACAAAGTTAGGAATATTTTTTGTAATTATTTTTTCTGATTTGACATTCCTCTGCAAGCTGCATGCATAATTGTTGTGGACAGTTATTTTGAATTTGCTATTTTTAATAGTTTTTATAAAAAAAATTACTGTAGCGATTTGACGTAGTATATGAGATAAAAAGGTAATTGAAAAATGTATACATAAAAAATAGCGTAAAATTTTTTCTGTAAAAAACAGCACACCAAGCAAATTATATTTACGTTTTCTGTAAATATATTATCTAATCACCCTTTTACCAAATATACGTCAAGTCGCCACAATACATCTTTCTACAAAAACTCTAAAAAAATAGCAATCGAAACAGAAAACCTTACATTTTGATATTGATGATGTTTCTTTACTCTGTCTTTTACCGCAATTTTATATGACCTAATTCATTTGTTACCTTAGGCAGCAAGAAAGGCTGGTAAATTATATAGAAATCAAAGTCAAAAACACATTGCTGTTACATCATTGCTGTTACATCATCTCTATTTGATTAGGTGGAATTGCTTTTCAATTCAAGGTTGTTGTCATCATTTATTATATAGTTTTTGTATTATGTGGGTGCATTTATGCACAGCCGATGGAAAGCAAACAAAGATAGAGAACAAAAAGAAAGAAAAAAAATTTGATGCCTACAGGCCATAATACGGGGACCAAGTTGCTCAACTCCCCCTCCCTAAGTTGCTTCATTGCTTAGGAAAAGTATTTGAGTCTTACAGACATGACTTGCATTAAAGTCTTCCCACGAGGGAACATATTGGTCCCTATCCATATATATATATGATATATCACACACCACCCAATCCAGTAATTAGTTTCACAGACAGAATGAGATAATTATTGATTAAATATGATTAAAGCAAGATTAAAACTGTACCCTTTTCATGAGCTGGTTATGGTGTGATCAAAGAGCATATTTGCTGGATGTTTGTCTAAAATTTTACTGTAATTTACTATAGAGGTTGTAGAAAAAAATTTTGAAGTGTGTAAATTTTTGGATATTTTGAAGTGTATAATTTAAAATTTTTGAGAAGTTTTTGAGATTACTGCAGTTAAAGTTATTAAAAAACTTGTGTGCTTGCCAAACAAGTCCTATAATTGTCTTTGACTAAGTTTTAATGGTCTCATGTTTATGTTTCCAGGTTCTACGCATCAGAAGTGGTGGTGGCTTTAGAATACATCCACATGTTGGGAATCGTTTACCGTGATCTTAAGCCTGAGAATGTGTTGGTCCGATCCGACGGTCATATTATGCTGACAGATTTTGACTTATCCCTAAAGTGCGACACATCTACGTCAACACCGGCTCAAGTGATCTCCAAACAAAATCCACCCAATGCGCCTGCACCAAATGAGTACAGCATTGATCCACCAGCTTTTACCTCAACTTCATGCATTCTTCCCAGCTGCATTGTCCCTGCTGTTTCTTGCTTCCACCCTAAGCGTAAGCGAAAGAAGAAGCCAGGGCAACACAACAGGCCGGAGTTCGTGGCCGAGCCTATTGACGTCCGATCAATGTCGTTTGTCGGGACACACGAGTATCTGGCGCCGGAGATCGTCTCCGGGGAAGGTCATGGTAGTGCAGTGGATTGGTGGACGCTAGGGATATTCATTTTTGAGCTGTTCTATGGTGTGACGCCCTTTAGGGGAATGGACCATGAGCTCACACTGGCTAATATCGTAGCTCGAGCCCTTGAGTTCCCAAAAGAGCCGGGGATACCGGCCGGCGCGAAGGACTTGATATCACAGCTTCTCGTGAAGGATCCGGCGAGGCGGATGGGATCAACCATGGGTGCATCAGCCATCAAACACCATCCCTTCTTCCATGGAGTTAATTGGGCACTTTTAAGATGTACATCTCCACCTTTTGTTCCTCCTCCATTTAGTAGAGATGTAATATCGGATGAAAATTGTTCAGAAGACAATAATGCCCCCGTGGATTATTACTAATTACTATGAATAATGAGAAGAAAAAAATTTCTCTAATGCTCATTTCAAGGGCTATCCTCCTACCCCAACCCCCTCCCCCCGGGCCTCTCTCTCTCCCCGGGGGCCCCTTTAAAGCTATGTAAATTAGAGTCTCCACATGAATAAAAACTCTACTCTCATGTATAGATGGATATGTACAGAGATAGGATTGATTTCGCTCACGTAAAATGAAGCTTATATCACCTGGTAAATTTTCTTATGTTTGTGCAATATTAGAAGTTTGCTTTTGTGGAAATTTCACGTTTACCAATGCATTCCTATTGAAACTTTTTATCCCTTTTTTTTTCATATTCATCACGAGCCAGTAATTGTGAGCATACTAGAGAATATCATGTCATAAATCCCAATTCTTTAAGATTAATCTTTGCACAATGTTAAAAAAGAAATCCAACGTAACTCTGCTTCACACGTGCGCGCGCGTGTGCACACACATATATATATATATATAAGAAATTTAATGGTAGCCTTGCTTCACACGCGCACATATATATATATATATATGTAATATACATAGCTCTACTTCACACGCGTGCGCGCGCACATATATATATATATATATATATATATATATAAGCAGAGCTACCATTAGAACACAAACATATACGCACACAACAAATGTCAAACAAATGAGATAATGTCATGTTCGTTCATACCCAAAGATTGAATCAAATTAGTTGTTTGTGGTATTGAGTGTTTTTCGGGATATTCATAAGATCCTGTCAACAGCATGAAAATGACGGTGAGACATCCTAATTGAGGTGATAATAGGACCATGTGCACAATTGTCTGTTCATTTACAATAATACAACTGCAAGCGACACAAGAAACTTCTTTTTCAGAGTTTTCTTCCAAGTGATAATAACTAAGCAAATTTCATTTTCTTCTCTTGTAAAGTCAATGCCGGTGTCGGAAGCACCGGCTCTCCATTCTCGACAACGTAAAAGAAAACAAATATGTATATATGCAAAGCAAAATCTATCATAGACGATAATCTGTGTTTGTAGTAACATATGAAGCCTATGGACAATATTTAGTACACCTGAAATATGTTCTCTATGGATTCTGATTTTTAGAAAGCTAAAATCAGAATTTAAAAAAAAGCTAGAGAGAAAATTATTGAACGTATAGCATAATTAATTTACAAAAATTATAAGCTAAAAACATGTCAAAAAATCGGTTGTCAACAAGCCCTGGCTGAAAGGAGTGCAAGCTACATTTTATGTAGAACATGGGCAATACTAAATCAATCTTTTTATCATTTACATTCTTACCATCATTTTTATTATATATTTTTTATTTATTAAATTATATGATATAACAAATAGTGAGAATGCGTGCAAATAACAATTTTCTAAATTCAAGTCATCATGATATCAGAAATATTGTGAAGGGGCCCTTCTGCATGGGAATGGCTTAATGAGATCATAAAGACTAAAGCATGTCCCCCACCCACATGGATTGTTTATTGCATGGATTGACTTGGTGTTTGGAGCCTTGTGCTGCAGGCACCAGCAACAAAAGAGCCCTTCTCGTTTTAGTTGTAGGATTTCTTTTTCTTGAGTAGATAAAAAGTTTGGATGACTTCGTCTTTAATCACAATTACGTGCGCACTTCAAATCACAAGTCATTTGTATTCTTACCGATCATCCATCAACATAGTTTTTTCACACAAATAACAAAATTGGAACACACAATCTTTTCTGAAAAAGTAATCTGTTCCAATTAATTGAGCCAACTTATGTTAACTTAGTGGTAGAAATATTATAATGGTCTAATTAGTTCAAAGTTTTGTGTGCTATTTGGTCTTTGAACTCAAAGTTAGTAGTGGGGTTTAAGTTGATATGAAACTTCAACAACTGCTTTTGTTATTTACGGGTTGTTTAATAGTGGTAATTATTATTAGAAGATTATGGTTGTGCTTTCTTGTCACCTAGATTGATTAGCTTCCTTTTGTTCTCTCCTTTTCCTTTTCAATCTTCTGTTTTAGTGGTTGAATGGATATGTTGCTTCATGGCAGGCTCTCCAATAGAGCTGTCCCCTAAAGGCTAAAGTTGACGTCTTCTTTGCTTTCTTCTCTTTGTGTGGTTTTCCATTTGGGGTTCAATTTTTTTCTTTTCTTTTTGGGATCGATTCTCCATGCATGAGTGGTCTCCATAGTTGGTACTTTAGCTTTTAGAACCATTTATGACACGACATGGTCACATCTTTGAAAAAAAAAATTATTTGCATTATTAATTTTGCTACATATTTTGTCCAACAATTTATTTGATAGTTGAAATTCAGCTGCTCGTATGACATGTTTTCGTAGTACACCAGTCCTTTGTACCCATGCATGTCAGACGTGATCCTCTGTCCATTATATCTGTCCATTTTTTCTGTCAAATGCAAAACTATGTAGTTTCACTTACTAATATTGTTGATGTGGCACATAACATTGAATGCATATTTAGGGGATGTTTGGTAAATGAGTTTTGAATTCAATTTTAGCATGGACGACCTACTTTTTGAATCAATACGACTGCATGCAACTGCAACTCTGACAAACTCAAGGATCTCGTCCTGTGAAAACTAGAAGGACTTCAACCTGTAACTATACTTGTTGAGTGGTACTTGTTGAGTGGTGGTATTGGAATTTTCTATCACGAAAATTTTATATTTTTTGTGAACATATTTTTTATTTATTTTTTATCTCATATACATCAAATCGTTACAATATTTTTTTTAATAATAAATTTAAAAAATTGCAATCCAAACATGCTAGCAAAATAAGCATGAAAATCAGTACTAGTAGTGTTTGGATTTGAGTTTCCTATCAAAAAATATTTACATTTTCCGTAAATACATTTTCTAGTCATTTTTTTAATCTTTTTTTTTACTTCACTATCAACTAAATCAAACAATTTATCATGGGCCGATATTATAAACACAAAAAGGTCTGTTTTGGATAGGTATTTACTTTTGAGGCAAAACATGAAGTAAATAAAGCGTCGTACAAAATTGTTTAATAAAGAGAACCAGCTGTGTTTTCTAATTTATTGTTCAAAAGAAAATATAAAGAAGAAAGCGACCTATATTAACTTAGGCTGTTTAGGGGATTAAGATGCAGATTGGTTGTGGATGTTAGACAATGAAATGGGAAGCAACCAAAACAGAAAAGATTAAATTGAATGCCTCAGTACAGTATTTACTATTTAGCTACTTGGATGCTTTTCACATGAGATTAATACACTTTGGTCCATTGTGTAAAGTCACACAAAAATGTCACGGCTCAGTTTGGATGGGAGTGTTTTTTAAATATAATAAAAATTTTTAAAAAGTACTCTAAAAGATAATCTAAAAATTAGTTTAAATTTTTTTTAAAATTTTAAAAAATATCTCAAAATATATTATAGAAACTCTTCTACTCTTAAATATCCCAAAATATTTTCTGAAAATATCTCAAAATATAATTTAAAAACTCTGCTACAACAAATTTTTTCAAAAATACCCTCAAAAACAGCCAATCCAAATGGAGTCCACGGGGAATTGGCCCTCCCCGGGGAAAAAAGACATATGAACAAATGATATTTACATTCCAAAATAATTTTTGAAAAAAATGACAATCGGAATTGGCAATATTTTGCTTCAAAAAAGAACTTGAGGCATACCGATCGTGGAGTTTTCAAGATCTTTTTTTTTTTTTTGGGGTGTAATGGTAGGGTAATGCTACATAAATTCGGAAGAAACTAAACCCTCTTGTAAAAAATTGAGAGCAATGCTAAAACTGTATACCCGTTATTTATTGGCAAAAAAAAATTTGTTTAACGTAAATATTCTTTTTATACATTTTTTAATTACCTTTTTACAACTTCGCTACATCAAATTCTAAAAAGTGTTACATTTCTCAAAAAATCTTGAAAAATTACAATCCAAACAACCTAGTGTCAAGTTGTTCCATTTTTGGATTTCATATTAGTTCTGTGTTAATGTGCAACTTAAGCCCTTATAAGTTGAGTTGTATTACAAGCAATATTTGCAATCCGTGAAAAAAGAATCATCACATTTTTGTACCTGTGGTGCTAGGCACAGATACAGCTATATTCCCTATACTAGTTTCATTCGAATTGACAAATTAATGATTGTGAAAGAGTTGAGAATTGAGGTAAGGTTAGTCAATAATATTATTGAAAGAGTTATCCCTGCAGGCTCAAAGCATAAAGATTTGTACTTCTTATTATCATGAAATGCAGATTGCCAACCTTAATACTTTGTGTTGTAAATTAGCAAAAAAGTTTTGTTTGAGGTCATTAATCGTTTAGTGTTCTCACGGAGTTGAGATCAATCATCGATGACTACAAACTATTCAAATACGCACCTAGCTAACATTCTTGAGAATTATCAATCCTAAAAATATGAAAGAATAGGTTTGTCTAACTTGAGGCTTTTATGCAAAATATTTACTTGCAGTCTTACATCATAAACATATTATTTTCAATCTTTTTTTTTATTTTCTAAATTATCCTTTTATTTCATTTACATTAGATCATAAAAATGTGTTATTGTAATTATTTCAAATAATCTCCTCATATTCAAACACACTAAGCACTGTGAAAATGAAAATGGACAGTAGAACAAAAAATGCGAGTAACACCACACACAAATATATATATATATATATATAGATATGTATGTATATATGGTGGACACTCTATGCTGTTATTTTCACAAGTTAATTGTCTACTGTGATTTCACAATCTTTAAACCGCTTTTTGGATTTCAATAGTCCAAATAAATAATGTAAAAAAAGAGAGGAAAAAAAAAATTTTTGTAAGAGTTCTTGCTCAAATCGCATCAAGCTTAAATATAGTCTTAAAGTATTTCATTTTATTAGACAAAGTTTATAATGAACTGCACAATAATTTCCAAGTTTTAACAAGTTCACAACGTTGTTCTTAAAGTACTAGTGATAAATCAAATTGGCAAAAATCATTGATTTGGTGAAAATCAACACTGATTAAGATATA